CAACCTCTAACTCCTGGGCTCAAGCGAGTCTCCTGCCTCAGCCTCCCACGTAGCTGGGACCACAGGCACCCGCCACAACAGCTAGCTATTTTTTGGTTGCAGCCATCATTGTTGTTTGGTGTGCCCGGGCTGGATTCCAACCTGCCACCTTAGGTGTATGTGGCTGGCGCCTTAGCCACTTGAGCCACAGGCGCTGAGCCCAGTTTGGTGATTTTTAACATATTTTCACATTGTAAAACCTTTACTATAATTGAATCCTATAATATTTTCATCATGTACAGAAAAACTTTGTATCCATTAGTAGTCACACCCAATCTTCCCATATCCCTTTCCCCCCGTTCTAGGCTAATCTACTAATCTACTAATCTACTTTCTGACTATATAGATTTATCTATTCTAGACATTTTAAATAAATGGAATCACGCCATATATGTTTTTCTATGACACTTAGCAAAACATTTTTGAGGGCCAGGCACAGTGGCTCATGCCTGTAATCCTAGCATTCTGGGAAGCTGAGGTGGGTGGATTGCTTGAGCTTACAGGTTTGAGACCAGCCTGAGCAAAAGCAAGACCCAGTCTCTACTAAAAATAGAAAAACTGAGGCAAGAGGATCTCTTGAACCCAAGAGTGGGACTTTGCTGTGAGCTAAGATGCCATAGCACTCTGCCTAGGGTGACAGCTTGAGACAGAGTCTCTCTTTGTCACCCTGGATAGAGTGCCATGGCATCATAGCTCACAGCAACCTCCAACTCTTTTTTTTTTTTCAACCTCCAACTCTTGAGCTCAAGCAATCCTTTTGCCTCAGCCTCTCAAGTAACTAAAACTACAGGCACCCACCACAGCACCCAGCTATTTTTAGAGACAGGTTCTCACTCTTGCTAGGCTGGTCTTGAACCTGTGAGCTTGTCTCAGCCTCCCAGAGTGTGCTAGGATTACAGGCATGAGACACCATGCCCAGCAAAAAAAAAAAAACAAAACATTTTTGAGATTCATCAATGTTGTAACATATATCAGTAGTTCATTCCTTTTATAGCCAAATAATATTTCATTGTATAAATATATCACCATTTGTTATCCATTCATCAGTTGATGAGCATTTGGCTTATTTCCACATTTTAGTTGTTATAAAAAAATGATGCTATTGAAACTGGGCATGGTAGTATGTACCTATAAGCCCAGCTACTCAGAAGGTAGAGATGGGAGGATCTCTTGGAGACCAGCCTGGGCAACATAGTGACACTCTGTCTATAAAAAATAAAAATTAGCTGAATGTGATGGTGTGTGCCTGTAGTTTTAGCTACTTAGGAAGCTGAGGTTGGGAAGATTGCTTGAGCCCAGGAGTTTGAGACTACAGTGAACTATGATCAGATCATGCCACTATATTCCACCTTATGCCACTGTATTCTATCCAGCCTATGCTACAGAGCAAAATTCTGTCTCTAAAAAACAAACAAACCCAACAAATTTTTAAATGCTAGTGTGAACATTCTTGTACAAGTTTCTATGCAGATATGTTTTTATTTTTATTTATTTATTTATTTTTTACAGACAGAGTCTCACCTTGTCACCCTCTGTAGAGTACTGTAGCATCACAGCTCACAGCAACCTCCCAACTCCTGGGCTTACGCGATTCTCTTGCCTCAGCCTCATGAGTAGCGGGGACTACAGGTGCCTGCCACAATGCCTGGCTATTTTTTTTGTTGCAGTTTGGCCAGAGCTGGGTTTGAACCTTCCACTCTCAGTATATGGGGCTGGCGTCCTATTCACTGAGCCAGAGGCACCATCCTGCATATGTGTTTAGTTATCTTGTATAGCAATGTAAGAGTAGAATTGCCAAACTGTTTTCCAAATTGGCTACACCATTTTACATTGCCACCTGCAGTGTATAAATATTCCAGCTTTTCCACTTCATTGTCAAATGTTTTTATTTATTTTTATTTATTTATTTATTTATTTTTGAGACAGAGCCTCAAGCTTGTTCCCCTGGGTAGAGTACTGTGGCATCACAGCTCACAGCAACCTCCAACTCCTGGGCTCAAACAAGACTCCTGCCTCCACCTCCCAAGTAGCTGGGACCACAGGCGCCTGCCACAATGCCTAGCTATTTTTTTGTTGCAGCCGTCATTGTTGTTTGGCGGGCCTGGGCTGGATTCGAACCTGCCACCTTAGGTGTATGTGGCTGGCGCCTTAGCCACTTGAGCCACAGGCGCCGAGCCAAATGTTTTTATTTTAATTAATTTTTTCTTTTGACAGAATCTCACTCTGTTGCCCTGGGTAGAGTGCTGTGGCATCATAGCTCACAGCAACCTCAAACTCTTGGGCTCACATGATCCTTTTGCCTCAGCCTCCCCAGTAGCTGGGACTATAAGCACCCACCATATACCCATCTACTTTTTCTATTTTTGGCAGAGACAGGGTCTTGCTTTTGTTCAAGCTGGTCTCAAGTTCCTGAGCTCAGGCAGTCTACCCTCTTCAGCCTCCCAGAGTGCTAGGATTACAGGCATAAGCCACTGTATCCAGCCAACATTTATTTCTTTAGCAATTCTAGTGGGTGTGAAGTAGTATCTCACTATGGTTTTGGCTTACCTACTCCTAATGACTAATAATACTGAACATCTTTTCATGCACTTATTGACCATTTATATATATGTTTTTTGGAGAAATATCTGTTCAGGTCCTATGATCCATTTCTGTTTCCTTGCCCCTGGTGAGGCTTCCCTTATTCTATAGCTTGGCTGGGTTTTTTTTGTTTTGTTTTGTTTTGTTTTTTTTGAAACAGAGCTTCAAGCTGTCCCTCTGGGTATAGTGCCATGGCATCACAACTCACAGCAACCTCCAACTCCTGGGCTCAAGCGAGTCTCCTGCCTCTACCTCCCAAGTAGCAGGGACCACAGGCGGCCACCACAACGCCTGGCTATTTTTTTTGGTTGTAGCCATCATTGTTGTTTGGTGGGCCCAGGCTGGATTCGAACCCGCCACCTTAGGTGTATGTGGCTGGCGCCTTAACCACTTGAGCCACAGGCACCAAGCTGCTTTGCTGGGTTTTATGTTGTATAATGTGCCCTCCTTTACCCTAATTCTGGCCTGCCTGGCCTGTTACCAATTCCCTTAACCCATTCCTGGGTATGAATTTCTGGTCAATACATTTCTAATGAAGTCACTTGGTGGAAATACTCAGTTAACTGGCATTTTTCTGCTTTCAGGTTGTTGGTATGGAGCAGAAGGTGAGGAGGCCTATCCCAAGCAGAATGTTTCTATAGAAGGGGTGTCATGGGTCAAGATCCCTAATACAGATCCTTCCGCTCAGAAGGCTGTCTCCTGTGACATGTGTGGGCCATTCTTGAAAGACATTATGCAGCTGACTGAGAATCAGAGAACACACCCAGAGGAGAAACCCTATACATGTGGAGCGTGGGGGAGAGACTTTTGGTTCAATGCAAACTTTCACCAGCATCAGAAGAAGCTCAGTAGAGAGAAGCCCTTCAGAATGTGTAGGGACAGGGAGTCATTTGTGAAGAGCGCTAATGTCCACCTGTCAGAGAATCCCTTCACTTTCAGAGAAGGAAGAAAGGCCTTTCTGGATAGCCATGACCTCCAGCATCAGTCTATTGACAGCAGGAGGAAGTCATATTCAAGTTTCGGTCAGCTCTCAGTCCACATACAAAAACACCTCAAGTGCAACAACTGTGGAAAAGCCTTCCTCAAGATCTCCACCCTCCTCAACCACCTGAGAACTCATTCTGGTAAGAAATCAATCCTTATTAATCAAAAATTTCACACTGGAAAAATATCCCATGTGTGTAAGGAATGTGAGAAGTCCTTTAGTCACCTGTCTAAACTGAGGAAACACCAGAATTTTCATACTGGAAAAAATGAGTGCAGTGAATGTGGAAAAACCTTTATCCACAAACTCATACTTGTTTATCATCAGAGAATTCACACAGGAGACAGACCTTATGAGTGCAGTGACTGTGGGAAAGCCTTCAATAACAGGTCACACCTCATTCGGCATGAGAAAATTCACACTGGGGAAAGGCCTTTTGAGTGCCTCAAATGTGGAAGAGCCTTCAGCCAAAGCTCCAATTTCTTTTGGCATCAGAAAGTTCCCACCCAAGTAAGACCTTATGAGTGCAGTCAGTGTACTAAATCCTTTGGCTGAAACTCTGCTCTCATTCAGCACTGGGGAGTTCACACTGGAGAAAGACCTTATGAGTGTAGTCAGTGTGGGAGAGCTTTTAACAATAATTCCAACCTTGCTCAGCACCAGAAAGTTCACACTGGAGAACGGCCTTTTGAGTGCATTGAATGTGGAAGAGACTTCAGCCAAAGCTCCCATCTCCTTCGACATCAGAAAGTTCACACTGGAGAATGGCCCTTTGAATGCAGTGAATGCAGTAAAGCTTTCAGCAATAGCTCCCCTCATTCAGCACCAGAAAGTACATATGGGTCAAAGGCCTTATGAGAGCAGTGAATGTAGAAAGGCCTTCAGCCACAGCTCCAGCCTAATTCAGCACTGGAGAATTCACACTGGAGAAAAGCCTTATGAGTGCAATGAGTGTGGGAAAGTCTTTGCTCACAGTTCCAGTTTCATTGAGCACTGTAGAGTCCACACAAAAGAAAGGCCTTATGAGTGCAATCAATGTGGAAAATCCTTTAGCCAAAATTCCATTCTTATTAAACATCAGAAAGTTCACACTGGAGAAAGGCCTTACAAGTGTGGTGAATGTGGGAAATTCTTTACCTGAAAATCCAGCTTCATTTACCACTGGAGAGTTCATACTGGAGAAAGGCCTTTTGAATGTAGTGAATGCAGGAGAGCCTTCAGCAATAATTCTCACCTGGTTCGTCATCAAAGAGTTCACACACAAGAAAGACCCTATGAGTGCAGCCAGTGTGGGAAAGCTTTTAGTGAAAGATCCACACTTGCTCGACATCAGAGAGTTCACACCAGAGAAGGGACTTATGAGTTCAGCCAGCATGGGAAAATCTTTAGCCACCTTTGTAACCTTGCTCAACATAAAAGGATTCATTCCTGAGTGAAGCCTTATGGAAGCAGACTTTGAACAAAAATCTTGAGCCAAGTCCAAGTTTATGCAACAGAGCTCCACTCAAAAATAATTATGTCCATGTATAGCAAATGTGGAAAGCCTTTAGAAGGATACTTTGTCCTTTCTGATTAGCTCAGGAACCTTGGCAGAGCCATCTCACCCCTGGGACATAGGCAGAAGTCATAAGTTTCCATCCTGCTTGGGTGCAAATATTTGCACCAGTCTTCTCCTTATGCAGGGGAAATGCAGCTTCCTGTGTCTGATTTCCCCTTTCCTGGTGGGAACTAGGATTGTCCCAGGTCCATTGGAATGGCTTCATTTCCATTGCTGCTGAGAGGCTTAGGCAGGGAACTGACCCCATACTGTTCAAGGAGCCTTGAGGGGAATTCAGTTTGAACTTTCCAGAAAGATGCACATTCCTCATGGATGGGGTCAGTCAAGACTGCATGTAACTCCTATGATATGTCCAGTGAGCCCCAAAATTACCCTCCATGGAACCATCACCTTGTCTGCTGTATAGTGTGTCATAACAAAGATGTAATTGATCATGTACCATTAGTACTAGGGGTTTTATTGGGGTAGATTGAGAAAAGAAATGGACATAGGGAATGGTTTAGGGGGGCACATGAACTGCCTCAGGGCATAGTATCTGTCCTATTGTGGTCTATTTTAGGTTGCTGTGTGAAGGATTGGGAAAGACTGAAAGGCTCTGGAGTGAACATAGTGGCCTATGTTTCATTTACCTGAGGACCCAGAGCTTACTAAGGAAGAAGAAATTAGTCTGTAACACTAGAATGGTATGTTGGATCAGGAGGCAGGTCCCTGATTCCTCAGGAGAATTCTTATGAACTGTCTTCTGGTTCCTAGTAAGGTGATAATGACTCTAGGAAGCCAGTAGGCAGGGTCACCAAGGCAAAGACCTAGGGGGGCCCAGTGGGAACTACATGTGGGTTGAGAAACACTAGGTGTGAGGAAATACAGAGTTGGGGAGACTGGTAAACTATAAGGTATGTGCTATCCAGGACAAAGAAGTAGTTGTGGCTTCCCATCAGCTGTGGATAAGGTGCAGAGCAACTTGAGAGCTGCAGTCCTGTGTGCCTCCTGTGGGTGAGGCCACATTTAAAAGAAAACACAAATCTGCGTGCATTCACTTCTCCTCTCTTGAACTATATCTTGGCCTCCATTACTCCCTAGGCAGGAACTCAGGACTGAGAGAAGTGATATCCGTTAGTCCAGGAGAGTGGTTTCTGTAACCTGGCCAGGGTTTCTTGGTCACTTAGACACTGCCTTCATGGCTTTACAGTCCTGCTGCTCAGCAAAGTAGGCATGAGGGGATGGGTAGATTTAACACAGCTGACAGATTTAGTATTTGAGAAGGAGCTTAAGATCCAGAATCTGGTTTTGGGCACCTATTACCCACCTATCCCCTGAAAATTACCATGTAAGTTCAGCATAGTCTCCATGTAAGCTATTGATATTTCTTTACCTGACTCCTCCTCCCCGCCCCACACAGATAGAGTAGTATTCCTCATGGAGAACTGGCTGAGCATACTGTAGTCCCAGTACTCAGGAGACTAGGGTGAAAGGATTTCTTGAGACCAGCCTGGGTAATATAGCAACATCCTCATCTTTTAAAAAGAAGAAAATAGGGGCATGAGCTCACATCATTGAATATGGTGTTAAAAGCTACTGCCACTTCTGTCCCAGGCACCTCTCTGCTCTCCCTAGCCAAGTGAATGTCACCCAGTGGGCTCTCTAGTTGGGTGCATGGCAGGACCAGTATTCCATCACTAGTTGTTCCTCACCTTGACCATGGCACCCTTGGCATCCCAAAGATCTATGGATTCTCATGGTTGAACATTAGGCATTATACCCCAGGTAGAAACCCTACTCATGGGAGCGGATCAGATCTTTACCACCAATAGAACCATTAGTAGTGGAGACAACCTTTTCAGATGTGATGGGGTGCAGAATCTCATTTTTTTTTTTTTGAGATGGAGCCTCAAGCCATCCCCCTGGATAGAGTGCTGTGGTATCACAGCTCACAGCAACCTCCACTCCTGGGCTCAAGTGAGTCTCCTGCCCCAGCCTCCCAAGTAGCTAGGACCATAGGCGCCCACCACAACGCCCGGCTATTTTTTGGTTGCAGCCATCGTTGTTTGGTGGGCCTGGGCTGCATTCGAACTCACCACCTTAGGTGTATGTGGCTGGCGCCTTAGCCACTTGAGCCACAGGCGCCAAGCCCAGAATCTCATTTGTAAAGAGCACTTTTCTGTTTATGCACAGCAGAGTTCAGAAGTGAGAGGATCTTATCTAGGGCTAGATGTCTGTGAAGGCCTTGGACAGTAATAATGCTCTTCCAGCACTGGAGTACCCAGAACAGTGAAAAGCCCAAAACAGAATGACAGGTGGACAGACCTTCCCATCTCCATCATCAGAGCACTCATAGCGCAGGTATGGGACAAGTGCTGAATGGGAAGATGGAGCCACCAACTCCAATCTCAGGCACCTCAATGCAGGCCGCACCCAAATGAAGCCCTTCAAGAGCAGTAGCTATGGGAAGGCTCTCCTGAAGAATTCTGCCTTCTTCAACCACCTGAGAGCCCAAAGTGAAGAGAGATTCTTTAAACACTTGGTATGAAGAAAGGCCCTCAGGAAGAAATCAACCCTTAGCAATAACCAGAAAATTCACACAGAAACATCTTGTGTGTGCAAGGAATGTAGGAAGCTCTTTAGTTCTCTCTCCCATGTGAGAAAGCAACAGAAGTTCCTATGGGAAAAAGCATTACAAGTGCAGTGAAAATGGGAAAGTCTTTAGCCATAAATACCCTACCCCCCTCTTTTTTTTAATCACCAGAGAATTCACAACAGAGTATAAGGGCAACAAATGTGGGAAAACCTTCACTCACAGCTCCTGGAATCCTACATAGCATTATATCAATGTTGTTGCAGAAGCCATCTATATTAGTTATCTACTGTTGTGTAACAAATTATCCAAAACTTAGTGGCTTGAAACAACAGTATTCATTATCTCTCTATCCTTATAGATCAGGAATCTGTGTGCAGTCTAACTGAGTCCTTTGCTTCAGAGTTTCTCACAAGGCTGACAACAGGGAGTCAGCTGAGGGTATAATTATCTGAAGGCTCAACTGGGGAAGGATCTGCTTCCAAGTTCATTCATATACTTGTTGGCAATATTCAGTTATTTTGAGCTGCTGGGCTCAGGGCCTCTCTTGATATGTTGGTCAGAGACCATCTGTAGTTTGCTGTCACAAGGGGCAGCTTCAAAGCTGCAAGCTGAGAAGGAATAGAGAATACCAACAAGACAAATTATTTGTAACCTATGGCAGAAGTACCATCACATCACTTTTGCTATAATCTACTTGTTAGAAGCAAGTCACTTGGTCCAGCCTATAGTCAAGGGGAGGGGATAGTATAGGGGCATGAATACCAAGGAGCAGCATGGTCACTGGTGCCATGTCAGATGCTGCCTATCACCATCTATTCTCTACTAGCTGCCAAGATCCCATGGCATGTGTCAACTTCCACTGTGCATAAGGAAGACAGACTATGGTCACTTTCCTATTCTCTGTAGGGAATCATTATGAGCCCTTTGGAAGATCTTCATTTTCTTCCCCACTGATGGCTTTAGGTCTGGGTATAACACAGCTCTGGCAAGAAGATCTCAGCTAGTATCTTCTAGAACTTTCAAAAAAAGCTTTCCTTTCTTTGTGGACATTTCTTGAGTCTACATGTGACAAATGTGACTGATTTGTTCAGTCTCAATCACCCAAACCTGCACCTACCTGTCTCTCACTATGAGGTTTTGATGTTTTTTTTTTCGTCCTTTTTTTTCAGTTTTTGGCTGAGCCAGCCTTGAACTCACCACCCCCGGTTTATGGGGCTTGTGCCCTACTCCTTGAGCCACAGGCGCTGCCCATAGAGGTCTTGATGTTTAGCCACTTGTATCAAATGTGTCCACCGGTCAGGTGGCTTGAAACAATTCATCCTAATACAAAGAACAGATTTTGTGAGGAACACTAAGTTTGAGTACTTCTGACAGCAGAATGGCCAGGAAGATCCCTCACTCTGGTTTTGGTCAAATTTGACTTATTGTCCTAAGGCCTCCTAGGAGATACTCAAGATCTCTGTGGACTAAATCTTGTGGCCTCGTCACCAAGGGTCACCTATGGGCCCAGAGCTGCCTCTGAAGAATGAGGTAGTTTCTTTGAGACCTCCAAAGCAAGACTTTGGTCTCTTGTTCCCAGCAGATATCCCATTGTACTAGCTTTGTCTCCCAGGACCTTCCCAAGGCTCATGACTCATGGAACCCAGTAAGCAGGTATAACTTAGACCTACTGGGGCCATGTGGAAACTATCATGGACACAGGAACACGGGGTGTGGAGAAGAATGTAGTACACTAGAGGGGACATGGCCATTCTAAAGGCATATCAGGTATTTTCAGTGACTATGGCCAAGTGGGATAAGGATGTGTAAAACTTCTTAGGACCTACAGGCCTACATGTCACCCTCCAAATGTTTTGTAGGCTCCTCTCCCATGGAATTTCTATGAAGTGATGTTAAATATTCCTTCAACAAAAATGTTAAACCATATTACCTGTTTTGGAAGGTTGCATATAAATCATTTTAAACAGTCCAGCCAATGGTTCCTGCTGGGTCCAGCAGCTACTGTGATTGGGATTATTGTCAGGACACCCTCACAGATACTGCTGAGAATGGGAGGAAGGAGAAGTAAGATCAGAGAAGCCTTTTTGTAGAGTCACTGACCACATCTGTCAACATATAAGTACAATGACCTCTCTTCCCTTCGCACACCCCCACTTCTGAAAGCATGCTTGTGTACATTTACAATACTTCATGCAAGAAGAGACAGGAAGATGGCCTGAACATGGTGGCATCCAGGTGAAAGGGGATATCCTCATACTTCAGCAAGTCCACACTCCAGGTTCACCCAGTGCAGACTATG